GACTCCAACCCCCTGCCATGCAGAAACTCCATCAAAGCACTCCTGACAGATGGTCCTCCAGCCTCTGCTTATAAACCTCCAAAGAAGGAGACTCCACCACACTCCGAGGCAGCCTATTCCACTGCCGACCAGCTCTGACTGTCAGGAAGTTCTTCCTAAGATTCAGGTGGAAACTCTCTTCCTGAAGTTTGAAACCATTGCTCCTTGTCCTAGTGTCTGGAGCCGTGGAAAACAAACCTGTCCCTTCCTCAACATGACATCCCTTCAAATAATTAAACATGGCTATCGTGTCCCCTCTTAACCTTCTTTTTGTAAGACCAAGCATTCCCGGCTCCCTGAGCCGCTCCTCATAGGACATGGCTTCCAGACCTTTGACCATTTTGGTCGCCCTCCTCTGGACACGTTCCAGTTTGTCAACATCCTTCTTGAATTGAGGTGCCCAGAACTGGACACAATACACCAGGTGAGGGTCATGAACCCCTACATCACACTGACTCTATTTTTCCACCAATTTCTCCACCAATCTCCAAAATTTCTGCCATAGTCAAGGTCTCACTTGGCCCCAGATCAGAATGTGTGACTAGGAGCTGCTTCTTTGTGGATGTGTTCAGTTGTTCTTTGACCTCTCACTTTTCTTTCTGGGGAGAGAATACTCTTTCCCCCCCATTCTGTTCTCCCACTAAGCTCCCTGATCTGGATAGGATAAAAGCCTACTTTTAAAAAAAGGGTGGAGGAGAGTGCGTTCGAGCTTATAGCCTTTTTCTGCTGAGAAGAGAAGGAGAATCCAGCTGGATTAGATGAAGACCTTTCTAGTCCAATTTCCTGTTTCTGGCATGGGCCAAACATGGGAAGCCCATGAGTAGAACAGGAAGGCAGTAGCCCTCTCCTGTGTAGGTTTTATAGTTATTAACCAATGATGTTCCCATACTCCATGAACTTCATCAAACTCACTTTGAAGGCCACTATGTTAGTGCTACCCACTGAGTTAAGCAGTGAGCAATCCCATAGTGTGCCCAGGTGGGGTCCTGGAGATTCAATGAGGTTCCAGATGTTCCTTGAATATCTTAGAGGGAACAGCTGTCCTCGGTGCCCCATTGAGAAAGCTCCAGTGTTTAATCTTTTGTCTTATATTGAAAAATAAGTGGATTATGAAAGAACTGGAGTCCAGTTTTGCTTCTGCCAGTGGCTTGACGCATGCACCTTTGGCAAATACCTTAAAATCCCTGGGCCTCTCCTGGCCAATGGATAAAGCACAGTGTGTTTCAGACACATTTAACAGACGTGCCTTTGTCCTTCTCACTCTAAGGAGTTTGAACCATCTCTCTGTATTTGCTCTTGGAAACACTGTAAGGAAATGGAAAAGTTCTTCTCTTTCTCAAATGTCGTATTTTTTTAAAAAAAAACTGAAGCAGTCTATGAATCAAGCAGTATGCCCACCAGAGGAGCCACCCTGGAAATGTAGTGTGTTCCGGTCTTTGTGTTCTTATTCTGCCTACCCGTGCTTTTCACACGGCATATAAAGTTCCAGAATCTCCCAGTCAGTCGCTATGCTGGCTGCAAAGAAAGCTTTCCTGTGCTCTCTTCTCTAGCAGTTCACGTTCAGAGGAAGGCAGCTCCTACAGTCTGCTTTCCAGAAGCCAAGATGTGCCCAGCATCAATTGGGGGATAACTTGTATGTGGTCCGGATTGCTTGGCAGCTACTTTCATCACTGCCCTGCCTTCTTTTCCCTTATCCTTAAAGCATATTTGCCAGACTTTATGATTTGTTTTGCTTTTTCACCGTCCAGAAGAATAGTTGATTTAATATATATTCAGAAATTTCAAAAGGGAAAGGATGTAGACCATCCTTCTGAAGTAGAAGAGAAAGGCCAGGCAGATGATGCAGCCAATACTGGGATAATAGATGTATGCCTTGTGTCGATTAGATGACATATTTAGGGGAGGGACAGAGCTGACCTCAGTTTTTTCTTTTCTTTTTTTAAATAAACAAGCAAACCTCATAACTGCAACAGCTGTTTCAGAGCACAATGTATTTACAGTGTCCTGAATCCCATGATCTAAAAAATGCTTCTCTTGCTTGGCAGTAAACAATCCCAGCAACCACACTATGAAATGTTTGTAGCAGAGCTTCTCCTAGTATACCGCATTGATAGAAAACAGGATTGCCCGGGATAAACAGATCCCCGTTTTGTTACAGTGACAATTTATGAGCATCTGGTGGCCAGTATGATTGCACTAATCAGAGCCAAAGGCTTCTGTAGAGTCACTCTGTTGTTTTCGGGTGGATGACGTTCTTCAGGTTTTTTTTTGACTACAGCTCCCAAAAGCTTTAGGCAGCATAACTCACAGTTAACCATTACAGAAGTGGCAGTCCAAATCATTGTGTGGGCAGCAGGTTATCTCCTCCCTGCTCAAGGCTGTAGACCATGTGGTGGCTGGTGCTGTTTTGCTGATGCATGCTTCTGTTTTGCTTTCAGTGGCCCCCAAACATCAATAAGAGTTTGAAGTACAGTATCAGCCATTTGCCCAAAGCAAGTGGGGGGATACAGAAGAAACTCAGTGACTCTGGCTGAGAAGTGCTCATATTGTTGCCAGGTCATGGGATCCAGAACCAAAATATCCTTCTAAGACAGAAGGATAATATACAACTGAGGGGTGCACATGACCCTTGATGTTGATAGAACCCTGCCTGATTCTCTCCCCCCCCACATCCCAGCTGATCAGTTGGACTATAAGGGGAAAAAATCCTGCAAATTGACTTCTGACTGGGATTGCTGTTTTCTTGCCAAGAAAATAATCATCTTGATGAAGCTTGATGTGGCATGGGAGCGGCAAAAACTGTTCCCAACACCTCACATTCCTGCTTTTATTCCTGCTGCTAGAAGCTGCAGAGAAAGATGCAAGATCAGTTAGAATCCCTGGATAAGTTACTTTACTTGCATAATGAACAGTTTCTATTTACTTTTAAAGTTACTTTTAAAGAGCATTTTAGAGACATTTTGTCAGGAGTTTTTCAAGCTTAAATCATTCCCAGTATGTGTATGTCTGTGTGCTAAGTCATAAAAAAGAAAAGGGGAGGCAATGCAATTGCAAAGGCTAAAATTACTTTGTAAGCATGCTAGCAAGCAATTTTGATCAATTCCCTTTCAAGCACTATAGTTATTCATGAGAATTACTTTTGGAAAGTTATTTTCCACATCTGCTTAGGACACACTGGAATCTTCTCTGTAGCTCTCCACAAAATAATTAGTATCTAGGCAGATCACATGGTCTGTCCTGGACTGTCAATTGTTGTTGTTGCTTGTGGAAGCATCAGCAATGGTGGGATGATGCTTCCTAAGCGTAGGGATGACTGGAAGTGTGTGTCTTTGGAAGGATGGGCTGTGGGCAAAGCAGGATCACACACATATTGTGGTTCCACAAATGGGCTCAAAAGGAAGGATTCCATCCTTCTGCCAATACAAATGCAGGAGTAGGTGATACCTTTAATCAGCCATTAAGAATATAAAAGAAAACAAACAGATAAATGTTACATGGCTGGGATCTAATGGTTGTTGTGGTTTTTTTGGGCTCTTTGGCCATGTTCTGAAGGTTGTTCTTCCTGATGTTTCGCCAGTCTCTGTGGCTGGCATCTTCAGAGTTCCTACTGCAGTCCTCTGAAGATGCCGGCCACAGAGACTGGCAAAACGTCAGGAAGAACCACTTTCAGAACACGGCCAAGAAGCCTGAAAAACCCACAACAATCAAACAGATAAATCATCTTCTTCAAGGCTGTGCATCAAGTTCTTGTGAAACTGTTATTAATGTCCCAAATTCATGTGATTGATGGTTTAGAAGCCTGTTTAGCTTCTTAGGTGGAAATAGCTGCAGCATGCATGTTGATTTCAAGCTTCTCTTCAGCTAGCCGTTTGGAATTCACGGAGCATCTCTTAAAACAGAGGACAGTCACAGGCAATCTGCCCCTCATTCCTTCTCCCTTTCTGAAACTCAAAGAGTTTCTTTTCAATTGGGGAGGGAAGAGTTACCAGTGACGTGGCTTGCGGCTAACAGAGTTGGGATTAGGAATTTAAACTACCAGGAACAGTCGATGTAAGGCAAATTAAAGCCAAATAAATTGTGTTGCCTGGCGGATGCTTTCTTTAGCATGCGGTGTCAAGAAGCTATGATGTTCAAGAACTCACATAGGTCATCAGTTAATGCCCTGATCAGCCATTCTATGGTATCTTATAGTTCAGGATTCCTTCCTTCTGCCAAGTCTCTGTGACAGCACTAGGTGGCAGCATTTACTTTTCCTTTCAATCCCCTGGCCAAGGAAAGAGGGGGAGGGGGAGGTGAAGGGAAATGTCTCTGGTGATGGCTTTTTGTGTTCACAATGATTCCTGGCAAGAGAAATGGCTTGATGACTGCACTTTAGTGGCTGTGGTCCCAGAGGAGAGCTAGGGGTGTGTGTGTGTGTGCAGCAAGCGAACGAGCTTCATGGAAAGTAGCTGAGCAGGTGAAAGTTGTGTGACAGTGAATAAGCTGGAAGTAAGAATAGTAAATGCTTTCCTTCAGGAGCAGGGGGAAAGCATTACAGGTCCTCCAAACACACTGGGTGACTGCATTCCCCAGAAAAAGGCCTCTAAAGCTCTTTCTCAGCTCTGTGCTACAAGCCTTTCGCCTATTTATGCCAGAGACTCGATAAAAAGGTAAAGGTAAAGGTTCCCCTTGACAATTTTTGTCCAGTCGTGTTCGACTCTAGGGGGCGGTGCTCATCCCCGTTTCTAATCCATAGAGCCAGCATTTGTCCGAAGACAATCTTCCGTGGTCACATGGCCAGTGCGACTTAGACACGGAACGCTGTTACCTTCCCACCGAGGTGGTACCTATTGATCTACTTGCATTTGCATGCTTTCAAACTGCTAGGTTTGCTCTTTAAAGCCTCTGAGGATATGGTTACATTGAAAAGTGTGATTTGATTTGTGGCCTGTACTACATTTGAAATCACAGTCAGTGCTCACCCAGGGGTCTGCAGATTGATTCGAGAGTTTATAGTGGATGTGATATAAGTTGCATTCCAGCCCACAGATTTCCTTCCTTCCTTCCTTTTCTCTGGTTCCACCTCTGAAGATCTGACAGGGACGTAAATACAGGAAATAATAATAACAATGACCCATATTAGTACTGATTTCATATGTGTAAGAAACTTTTTTAAAACTAAATCAGATAATGAACAGGGGAAAGGAAAGAATGCAGGAACCCTGAATGTCAGGCCCCAACTGCCTATGTCATTGAAACACTACCTAAAGACATGCCCCCATCTTTAAAAGAACATAACCACAATTAACCACATGGCAAAAAGCCCAAATTGTTCCACCTTGGAAAAGTAAAAGCCCCCAGTGGCAGAGAGGGAAAAAGCTCCTGTGGGAGCAATAAGGACTGTGCAGATTCGAATCAGCCTTTGCATCACGTGGTCAGTTAAAAATACTTTGAATTCACCCATTTTGTAAGTGGAACAAATCTTGTGGTATTTGGCCATGTAGTTGCAGCCTGAGTCAGTTTAAATGCTCCCATAACCCTCGGCAGCAGCTTTGTTTACACATCACTGAAGAGGAGCAGAGAGGATTAGAGGCCTGTAGATATGGAAAGGAGGCAGAGAATTAGTGCGGATTACAAGAGGGGATTCCAGCAGGAGAGAAAAGGCAGGGGGAAAATTGCTGTTAGCATGAGACATGGTTTAATTTTAAGCTTCTTCCCATTCTCCCCCCCACTTCCTTTAAAAAGAATCCTCTTAAGAATGGATCTGCGGCTAAGGCGTGTCTTGATGGTAGTGCTTTAGGGAAACAGATGTATGGTCAGCACACATCTGCCCAGCACCATCTCACACCTTTGGGCCAGGAGTGGGTCACTTTGGCCTTCCTGATGTTGCAAACCCAAGTACAGTATTCTTCACAACCTGCCAGTCAAGTTAGGAATGATGGGAGTTGTGGTTCTCTCCTTCTTTATAACTCATAGCAGCCCTCCTCAATTCCTCCAGAGTATCACCACCACATATCCAGGTATAGGATGTGGCTGAGTTGGGCTTCCTTTGGCCAGGTAAAAAGCAGTAATAGTCTAAAATAAGGCTCAGCACCATGGCTGTGTTGACGGGCGCTTTGTCCTCCCTTATTAGCTAACCCCCTTCCCTTGTTGCCACTACATTTCTTCTGAGCTCACCCACAACTGGTATGAGTTTGTGCTTTCTTCTGCACCACAGAGTGCTGCAAGGCCACACAGCCACGTGGTGCCTTTCTCTTTTCTCACTGAAGAAGAGACAGGAACCTGGGGCGCAGGTGTCCACTTGTCCACATGCTACATGTGCAAGACCGGGAGGAAATGCAGAAGGAAGTGGACTGGGGATCCACTAGGGCTGTTGCCGGTGAAAGCTCAGGTCTCGCTGAATGAGTGAGTGAGTGTGTGATCAGACAGCAGCCTAAAGAGTGTGCTGGAAAGGGTTGCTTTGAGGGCGTGAATCCTTCCATTCAAATGCGAGACTGTCTTGATTGCACCGGCTCACCTGCACCCCACCCCACCCCCCAAAAAAGAGCAGCCCTTCTGCTGGACAAAAGAAAGACCAGACCGTGCACATAGCAGATCTCAAGTACGTTGTCTGGTCACTGGCAAATGGTGCTGTCTGCACTCCAAAAAGTGATCAAAATAACAGTCTGATTGGACCCTTAGTCTCTGAGATAACAGTGTCACTTTAGGCCTTTCTGGAACGGATGGTTCCTACTTTCACAAGTAACTTGTTCTAAGGGCAGATCTGCGGCCATTGAAAGGCAGCCGTGGAGTGGAGGGAGAGCAATCTACATTCATACATACAGTATATGCTTTGCCATGAAGGTTGGAAGCAGCAAGGGTGTGTGCGTGCATGTCCCTGACAATGTGAGTGTTTATGGCAGAAAGAGAGGAAAGAGAGTGCAGGCGCAAGGCATTGCGTGTAGCCGAGTCATCTGGCCTCTAGCAGGTGGCAGCTCTAACGTCTGTACCTTTCACTTCGTCAGCATGACTTGGGGCTTGCAAACACGTCGAAACAGCTAATTGTTATACATTCTCAAATTCTCATTGTCAAATGACGAAGTAGACACTGCCATAGACAGTCCTTTTGTGGGATGATGATAGTGCCATCACTTTCGGCAGGGAGGGTCCAGTAATAGGTAGGGATCAGTTCCTTATTTGGATCCAGATATGGAAAGATGCCATGGCAACAAAAACATTGCTATACCAGTTCCTCCTGGTGGAAATGTAGCGTGCCCACACCTGTCCTCGGAAACCCTGAACCAGCGCCATTGGGACTGATCTCAGTGGGGTGGGGAGGTACAACACTGGCCCAGTGTTGATCAAATTGCCCAACTACCCTATTTATTGTATGTTGAAATTATAGGAGGTCATTAGCAGGACTGAAATCAGGGCAATGTCGTTAAAGCCACTCTTTATAACAATCATGGACCACTGTGTTGATTTTTACTCCAGAGCAACCCTCCCAGAAAGGTCCCCGTGCTAAAAGAGGCTAACCTAGCCTTTTTGAGAATTCAGACCATGAAAAGCTTTCCAACCTATCACCAAGCACATGATTTGCAAACCATACTATAGCTCAGGTTGGACAGTAGGCCAAGTTGGAAAAAAAAGCAAAAATAAAAACATAAAACCCCACAAACCCCCAGCCCTTCAGACCAACACATTAAGAGACAGGATTCATAACTGAGAATTTGGTGGTTCTGCATTAACTTTATCTAGATTGCCATGTACAAATGAGGCCAGCAATATTTTGATGCAAGAGACTAGTTTGATAGCTATTTTAGGAAATCTGATTGTATATTGTTCGCCCTGCCCTATGAGTTCATAATTTAAGCAATGTATAGCCCTCCCAGAACAATATTCTACCTTAGTTATGGATGGCTGCAACATGCCATTGTTTTTGTTAAAAGAAAATTGCTAAGCTGTGAAAACTTGCTCTCCCTCTGGAGGGCTACCATTGGAAGCTGAAATCATGCAACTTCTAAGCTGTTTTTTGTGGACCTTGATGGGTCCTTTATTCTGTTTTCAATTTTTAAAACAGAATTCCTAAAACATGGAAGAAATAATCAGTCAGTCAGTCAATCAGTTACTCGTAATATTCTGCCTTTCTGCCTTGCAGGACTAAGCTGGTCCCAAAACAACTCACATCATCAACTGAAAAAACAGACAAATTTGAAAAGCATGCCTGCACATATACTCAGAGTAACTTCAAGTGTTAAAGCACTATTAAATAAAATACCTCATTAAAACTGCATATAATTGACCTAATTTTAAAACCTTTTTAAAAATCCAACAAAAACAGTACAACTGCCACCACAGTATCAAAAGGGCTTTCCTCGTCAGTCAATCTGTAGGCGATGCAGATAAAGTTGTGATTTTTGGCTGCCCGTGGAAGGACAACAGGGAGTAAGCTGCCTAACCTTCTCCCAAAGAAGGTTCCAGAGCCTGGGAGCAGCCACGGAAAAGGCCATCTCTTGTCCTCACCTGACGTGCTTCTGAGAGTAATGGGAATAAAATGGAAGTTCTTTCTTGGTGATCTTAAGACCCAGAACATCACATTTTCAAACTGGATCTTCCTTCCTTCCTTCCTTCCTTCCTTCCTTCCTTCCTTCCTTCCTTCCTAGTTAGTTCGGGCTGATTTGGATATCGTGTTCATACCTATATTAGGCAAATATAGAAAAGAGCATGCAAATACTTGACAGGAGTTTTGCCTCAAACACAAAAAGTCAGATGATCTGGCATGGTGAAAAGTACATTGTGGGATTAAAGGAAAGAAGATGGAAAAAACCTGGATAAAGGTCTGTGGGAGAGGAAGATCGAGAGGCCTAATAAATTCCCTACTCCACTTCCCCCAGTGCCAAGAACAAAATCTTACCAGTAGTTGATGGCTGGAATTTATAGAGGATACCGTCAGTGACAGGTCTGTATATGTATCTGTTCATCCCGTTAGCTGAATCTACCAGGAATCTCATAGATCTTCAGGGACAGGCAGCGCTGAAGACAAAAACCAGCTCATCCTGTAATGGCTGCTCCAGCCAAGGCAGTTTCCGTGGATAGGGAGATTTTCCAGAAGAATTGGATAAGATCATTCTGGACTACTTTCAAACCTCCTTTCCTTGCATGGCTAATTTTGTCCACAAAGAGCATCTCCAGTTTGCTGCCTGCTTTTATCATTAAAAGGCTACTCGAGCTGCTGCTTGAGTTTTGATCCCTCTAGCCTGCAGCAGAAAACAATGTGAAAACATCTCATGAAGACAAAATGTCCCCGGCCAAGCTGTTTTCTACACCTCTTTATTAATGGGCAGGGATATTAAAATGCATGGTGTTAAGCTCCTGGGTCAGTCACATATGACATTATCTGTATTGCTTTCCTGTGTCGCTGCCCATTGACTAAAAAATCTGGAACTCAACACAGCTCAATTGAGAGGCAAACCAGATGACTGTAGATCACAAGACATGGGTCAACAGCCATGTTTATAAAGAGAAAGACAGAACTAGCATTTCAGAAATACAAATGGCTATACTTTGATCTTTGGGCTGAAGTTGTTGGAGGGCTGGGGGAGAATGAAAGTGCAGAAACGTCACATCAAAGCAACAGAAGATTTAGTATAACCATATTTGGCATTATTGACAAAGCATGTACCATTGCTACAGCTGTGTGTAACCGGTCAGGGATTTCTTAATTGGGTAAATGGAAATAATATGTGGTGGAGAATGACAGTGGAACAGGGCCAAGGACCGAGAGCTTGTCAACACACTGGATTGTTGATGGTGAGAATGGAAAGGCCCTGTCCAAATGAAAAGGCCTGCCCTCTGAGTCACGAGAGTGTCTCTTATTTGTCCACAGAAAAATGAACTTTCTGGTTACCAGTAGCCTTCGTTAGGCCCAAGTGTTTAAGCATGCACAGAGTGACTTCTTCTAACACAGAACAGGCACGGCTGCAAATTTTAAATGGATTCTTGTACTTATTTGTACTTGAACTTACTATCTTGAATGTGTTTTGATGTTGATTGTGTTTATTTTAGCATGGTATACTCACTGTTGTTAGCTTTAATATTGTCTTTTAATGATATAAGCCACCTTTGGTGCTTTTTTAAAGAGAAAGGTGGGGTAAAAATATTTAGAATAAACAGTTGAAACTCCCCACTCCAGTAGGAGTATGTTAGTACATCTGATGTTGCTGGTTGCAAAATATATAAAGAAAGTAACCTTCTTTCCCAGTTGTGCCCTAGAAGCTTCAGGCACATAACACTTACTGGTTTCTAAAATCCTCCCCAAAGCTGTTTCAAAGCAACCGAAACAGCTCCAGGTGCATGGTCTCTGGGCTTAAAAGAAATCCTAGATGTGACATGTGTTACCTACTATTTTGTTTAGTCATTAAGTCATGTCCGACTCTTCGTGACCCCATGGACCAGAGCATGCCAGGCCCTCCTATCTTCCACTGCCTCCCAGAGTTGTGTCAGATTCATTCTGGTAGCTTCGATGACACTGTCCAACCATCTCATCCTCTGTCGTCCCCTTCTCCTCTTGCCTTCACACTTTCCCAACATCAGGGTCTTTTCCAGGGAGTCTTCTCTTCTCATGAGATGGCCAACGTATTGGAGCCTCAGCTTCAGGATCTGTCCTTCCAGTGAGCACGCAGGGTTGATTTCTTTCAAAATGGATAGTAGATTACCTACTATAGAAAAGGAAGAAATCAAGGGAGAAATCTTTATTCTGCCCATTTTTAAAATCTTCCTGCCTTGGAAGCTTGGAAGTGTCTAATTCTTGGGCCAATAAAATTTGGGAAGGGCCCAAGTAACATGGGGCTGAATAAACCCGATTTTGCCTAATAATCCGGGGCAATGACAAGGAGGCAGGAAGACAGATAGGTAAATACCTAAGAGGGCCTGTTCAAACCATATTAAACAATTTTACTGGAGACTCAGATCCACAAATGGAAAATCCCTTAATGGAACTATGAAAATGCCTAAACAGAGTACGTATGCAAATTTTCATGTTCAGAACTCTTCACCAGGCTAAACAGGATGAAAAGCAAGGGGCAAAGTAAAGGGAAACGGCAACAGGCAATAATGAGGTACAAAAATTAGTCTGGATGTTGTAACCCTGAGGTTTGGCATTCCAATCAGTTTTCAAGATGTTGATTCCAGAGTGAATAAATAGTATCTCCTAGATACTGTGAGTGTCAGAGTACAACTTTGATTGTGGGATGAAGGAACAACATCTTGAAAAAACAAAACAAGATTACAAGATTAAGAAAAATGTGGAGAATTTATTTTTAAAGGAAAATTTAAAGGATATTATTAAAAATATAAACCCATTTTAATAATATGTTACATTGTTGGAAGAGGTATAAGAGGATACTGAGTCCAAAGCTTTCCCCATTGATACATATGGTAGAATTACACAATTTTTCAGATAAGCTGAAGAAAAAATTAAATAAGGTTTTATTAGAACAGAAAGTTATAAAGATTGAAGAGTGGATTGAAGAGTGGAATAAGATGCATAATATAGAGAGAATAAAAGAGATACTAGGATGAGAAGGAATTACTTGGCTAAATGTAGGACAGTTAGATAACTGGACCAAAGCATGGGGGGAAAAGAAAGAAGAATGTAAGAGGATGACTAAACTTGAAGAAATTATTGAAAAGAGGGAAGAGCTTGATAATATTCAAAGAAAAGGGATAAGTGTAATATATAAGATGGTAGTAGAGAATGAATATAAAACAATAGCTTTGAAAGAGAGAGGGCAAGGAGATTTAAATAAAGTGAAGTAAATTAGTGGAAAGGTATGGAAGAGGATCTAGGGAAAAAGAATAATGAAAAATATGTCAGTTAGGGTAAGGGAAAACTGTTATAAAGGAATATGGAAATGGTAATTAACACCAATGAAGCTGAATACATTGAATAAAGAGTTATCATTTATATGTTGGAGATGTAAAAAAAGAAACGGGAACATACTACCATATGTGGTGGGCATGTGAAGAGAGGCGGAAGGAATGGATGATTATATTTAATGAGATTAAAAACATTCGAGAAACAGATATACAAAGATATCCAATGGTAGCATTGTTAAATATATTTGGAAACTGTCAATTAGATGGGGGGGGAGTGGAACTAATCGTTATGTTAACAGCAGCTAGACTGATGTTTGCAAGGAATTGGAAAAATAATAATCAATTGATGTTGGAAGAATGGCATAATGAGATGTGGAATCTAGCTATTAATGATAAATTAACTTGTGAACTGAAAATTAGAAAAGATTATAGAAAGAAAGTAGTTTTAATAGGATCTGGAACCTTTATATAGAATACGTACTCACAAAGATTACACTGTATATTTGAGTTGTGATTCTATTTGTCATTTATGTTTTTGTCACATTTTTTGATTTTTTAAAAAATATCCCGAAACAAATCCCCTGGCCATTCCGCAGAATTACCTCTTGCTTTAAGTGAAATATGCAAGATTAGGCAGCGAGAGAGAGAAATTTTTTTTTTTACACTAGCCAAGCTAAAGAGTACATTGGGGGCAATATGGAAGGTTAAAAGTGAATTGAAGCTAAGTAGTACAGTCTTACCTAGTGGCTGGAGGGAATGGGACCTCAGATCATAGTTAATTTCACAAAGCAAAAACAACAGAGTCTTCGGTTGCCTTACAGATTAACAGGTGTTGCTAAGCAAAAAAAAAAAAAAAGTACCACAGCCCGCTTCATCAGATGCTAAGTGGGCTACACCTGGTACAAGTATGTAAAATACCATCTATAAAAGATGATGTGAAATAAATCTTTTAATCTGTGAAGGGCTCTCTGGTTTTTTTGTTTGTTAAAACTACTAAGCCTCATGGAGTAGAAAATCAATGGTGCGCTTCAGAATATGGAAGAGTCCTTCCTTCCTTCCTTCCTTCCTTCCAACTCAGGACATTCTGGGAACTATACTTTATAGAAGCAGCATTTCAAGACTCTAGCTAGTCACTCAGGGTGCCTTACTGTTCCCTTGTCAATTGTATGGGTTGTCACCTTTATAGCAACGATCTGGGCTTTTTTCCACCAACATCCCCACCCACCCAGCAGCCTCTAGATTGAAGAACAAAAGCTTGGGTTTTGTTCTTCAATCTGTGAAGGTTGGGTTTCCCTCAGCCTAACTGCTAAAGGGACATGGTGGCACTGTGGGTTAAACCACAGACACCTCTGTGCTGCAACTTCAGATGACCAGCAGTCAGAATATCAAATCCACCCAACGGAGTGAGCTCCTGCCACCTGCCCCAGCTCCTGCCAACCTAGCAGTTCAAAAGCATGCAAATATGAGTAGATAAATAGGTACCACCTCGGTGGGAAGGTAATGGTGTTCCGCGTCTAGTCACGCTGGCCACGTGACCATGGAAACTGTTTTCAGACAAATGCTGGCTCTATGGCTTGGAGATGGGGATGAGCACCGCCCCCTAGAGTCGGACACGACTGGACAAATTGTCAAGGGGAACCTTTACTTAGCTGCTAAAGGGCCCTTTCCTAGGGGGATCCTCTTTGTGGGTGTATAGCTCAGACACCCAAAATCTAAAGTTCACCAAACTTGGAGAGACTGTAGAGGAGAGTCGGGAGATGCTTTGCTATAACTTTGGTGTCTCTAGATGCCTGGGAGGAGACTTTCTTGGGGGGGGCACTTTGTGGATGTATAACTTAGACGTCCAAAACCCAAACTTCATCAAACTTGTAGAGAGTCAGGGGAAACTTCTCTGCAATTTTGATGTCTCTAGTGGCCGAGGTGTGTGTTTTATAGGGTTATAAAGTCAAGATGGATCTATTTGTCAGAAGAAAAATTCACAGGTTTGTGATTTGTCAACTTTGAGAAATTAAAAATCACGACAAATCATAATTTCTTCAATTCGTGCCCATCTCTAGGAAAGAGTGAGCTGAGAGGCTTGCATGTACCAGTGCTCTAATTACACTCTTCCTGTTACTAGGTTTTCCTGGTGCTACACTGTTATGTCAAAGCTCTATAGCTGTGGAAGCAGGCTTGGAAGTGTTTACTTCCCAGTGACCAATTGCAAAAACAAAACAAAAAACAAAAAAAGCAAGTCAGTCTGATGTGTAAAGAGTAAGGCATGCTCATGCTAGGGTGAAAAGGCATCTGTTACCTCTTAAGGGAGCTCTGTTTTCTAATGTGGGTTAACTGTATATTCTGGTTTGATGCTTCTTTGCTGCCTTCTTTTGAACCAGAGCTGGGACATGTATGACC